GGGGGGGGGGGGGGGGGGGGGGCCGTCAGCCTTCCCTTTGTCTGTGTCGAAGAAGAGATCGTTGCTAAACATGGCATTGTGAAAACTAGATAGGGGGACCCAACACAACCGCATACAACCGCCCTCTTCACACCCCCTCCAAGCCATCCCCAAACAATGGGGGGGGCCTCTAAAGGCCAGGGGGGTTGACCGCCCCCTATGCCCTGATGAAGAAGAGAGGGAGAGCGAGAGCGAGAGAGAGCAAGAGAGATAGGGGGAAACCCCTTTGTCCCTAACCCTAACGAAAGAAAGAGATAGATATGATAGTCAGGAGGACTGCTCCTGGCTCTGACGCCAAGCAAAACAAAGCAAAGCAAAGATATGTTAGACACACCGACGACACCAGACAAAACACTGGCGTAGCGCTGCTGCGCAGTCGTTTGGGGAGCGGCCTTCCCCGCACCTCCAAATGCCCGGCAAGAAAGCAAGCACACACGCACGCAGGCACGCACGCGCGCACGCAAGCAAGCAAGCAGTAAGCATCATAGGGGCGTGGCACTGGAAAAGCCGACCTCCGACCAGCCATGACCAGACCCAAGCTAAACCCGCAAGGGAGTCTTACGACATCTTACGAAAAGGGAGACGGATGTGCAGAAGAGTGGCATTCGGCAGGTAACAGCCGAGGACTTTGATGCCCGCATCCGCCTGGGTCGTCCATTCATCATCGCTGACGCAGGACTCCTGTCTTGCAGCCATATTGTGCAGAGTTTGCCTGGGATTGCGTGTGCACTTCTGTAGTATCCTTTGGCTGCATAAGCCGTCTACGTTCTATGCCGGGAAGTCGTTATGATCCTGGTAAGCCCTGCCCTGCAGTGTGTTCTCATATTTTCTTATGCACGCGACCCTGAGGTCGTGGAATCGACTTGGTAGGTGCAAGCTGCCAGCACTTCCATGAGCGTTTTCCAACCGCACAGATGCGGGCGGAGTATACTGGCGACGACAGGCCGGACGACTCGGAGTGCAAATGTACTCCATGACTGGCGTGTCCTGTGAACTGATATGATGCGAGGCCCGAAAAGTTTATCTCGCTTGGCAGCAAGGCGCGGCCAAGCTCTGTAGTTCCAGGCACTGGCGTAGGTTTAAGTCGTCCCTGCCGGGGCGAAGCCGTCCCAGCCATGTGCCGCAGGGTTTGGGCTAGTTTTCAACACCTCCATCATATGTTGTTTCCCATCCAGTCTGTAGTTTCTGCGCGATCCAGTACTGTGCGCGGTCTATCCTTGAGCTTGGATCTTGGATATGCTGTGATGCCACTTGTGTCCCGAGTTGGTGCTTGCACAATCCAGCGCCTACAAAGGGAATGGCTGGTTTTGATTTGCTGTTTGCTGCGATGCCACTGATGTGTTTCTTGAGTGGCTGCTGCAAAATCGGGCGTCTACATGGGAATGGGCTGGTTTTGAGCTGCCGCTGATCTGTTTCTTGAGCGGGTGCTTGCGAAATCGAGCATCTACATTGGGAATGGCTGGTTTTGATTTGCTGCTTGCTGCGATGCCACTGATGTGTTTCTTGCTTAGGTGCTTGCGAAATCGAGCGTCTACATGGGGAATGGCTGGTTTTGATGTGTTGTGCTGCCACTGATGTGTGTCTCGAGCGGGTGCTTGTGGAATCGAGTGTCTACATGGAGACTGGCGGGGTTTATATAGCTGCTATGATGAACGGTAATCACTTATGTGCGCGCCTACATTGGGATTGGCTGGTTTTGTCACCTGTCGAGAAGAGTGCCGGGTATCAGGTTTTGTCAGCCGGTTGGTAAGGGTAGGGTTGGAGGTCGCGCAGTGCTCGCGCAAGCTCGCGCGGGCGTAGCCCACAGGGTAGTGTCGCTTCCGCGACGCATCCTGACAATTGAGCAGGAGCGGCTTGGAGAGTACAATCAGCATCGACACTGGGGTTTTGCATCTAATCATGTGTATTCGTGCACTAGTGAGGCTTCTCAACCCACCGTGCACAGGGCACGCGGCATTTTGGGTGCAAGCCGCGAACACTCCAAAAATGTGTGTGTGTGTGTGCCCTTGCGGAAGGGCTCCGGGGCGACTCTTCACGCCAGCTGGGGCGACTTAAAGACTTAAACCTTGCGCTCATAGTTCGTAGTTTCGTCTAAGAGCTACATGTAACTGCTCCGGCTATTTCTGTGAGGTTTGCCTGCGAAACCTTTTGTTGATTCCACTGGCTTCCCCGAACTCGCTGGAAGGCTTGGTTTTCAAAGGATCGACATCAAGCAGCGAAGAAGGGGAAGAAGTCCAGCAAGGACATCCTTGTTTGCCAGCATTGAGCATCTGCGATGCGGCGCTGCTGGATTTCTCCGGATGTCTGAACCATGCCAGGCAGCGCCTGCGCAGCATGCGACAGCTCCTTACGTGTGGCACGTCAAGGCCGGCGAGTTTGGGAATACGTAGGGCTTACCTGTCATTAAAGCGAGTTGCGTGTTAGTGTAGGTTGAACTCTATGTTTTGTGACTTGATGCATCGCTCTCATGACTCCTTCTCACTACCTCGCCACTATCAGAAAGTTCTTCCCGTGGTTCATGCATAGCATGGCGAGCCCGAAACTCCCAAACCCTGAGCCATAATCGTTGTGCTTGGCTACGGATCCATCCACAGCTCTCAAAACTTTCTTCGCACGCAATACTTTCGCCTTGGCGACCCGTGGATCATGGCCCCAATGAGCCAGCCGATGGATCAGCAGATCACCGCAGAGGGCCCGACGATCGCAATCTTCAATGTGGCAATGATCGGCCACGTGAACCCTACCTTCGCCCTAGTGCAGGAGCTCTGCAAGCGCGGCTGCAAGGTAAGCTACTTCTTGCCGCCTGTTGCTCCGATCCGTGCTGCTGCCATCGAGTCCGGGGCAGTCGTGGAAGGCTACCTCCCTGAGGATCCATCAGACTTCGTGATGGAGAAGTGTGGCATTGACGAGCCGTTGTGTCACGCTGTGCCCGAGATTGTTGAGGACGACCGTGCAGAATACGAGAGAGCTGTTTGGCCTCTGGCCCAGGCCCTCCTGTGTGGGGAGTATGTCATCGAGCGGTGCCGACAGCTGGGAGTCAGTGTGGTTCTCTACGACCCCTTCCTGCCCATTGGGCTCTTGGCAGGCACGAAGCTAGGCATCCAGTGCGCCTCCTTGGTCACCTACCCCGGTATGGGGAGTCTTTCCGGCTTGATGTCGACATTGGAGGCTGAGGGGCGGCTGGAGCGCGCTGGTGCCATCCGCAAGCCTTACGGAAAGGCTATCCAAGATAAATTCGGCGTGGACTTGCGCTGCAACCTCCTGACACGCCGGCAGTTCTATGCAAAGACGAATTTTGTCACCACTTGCGAGGACTTGATCGCAGAGCTGCCAGCATCGGGAGAGCAGAAGTGGGCGGATGAGCTGCGCACGGAGTTCAGCTTTTCGGCAGTCGGCTGCCTCGTCAGCAGCTCTGCGCCGCATGTGATCACAGCACGGTCGGACAGCTTCATCCCGCGCGTGAAGAG